GTGTCCTCACTCCTTCAGGACCCACCTGAATGTTAAGCAGCAAAAGAGCATGAACTTCGTTTTACAAAGTGCTTTTAGATCCTCAAGTAATAATAGCCTATGCAAAACCAGACATAATTGTAATTTATAAACTTAACAGAATTTCAAGGGATCCCATTTGAGCTGAATATAAATTTAGGTAGCTGTTGCATTGGCAAAATGAAGAATGTGCAAACCTCATCTTGACTTGCACTGAGAATAAACAGAAGAAAAAAAAGATTAATAGAAGCCAGTCACTGCTTCTGAAAAGTAATATGGAGCAACAGCTGGGCACCAAACTAGCCAAGTTGTGATCATTACAAAAACAGAGCACATTGGAAGTTTATTGTAAAATCAGATTTTGTTTCTGCTTTTCAGGTGGGACTTTCCACCAACAGACCTTATGTTACTTTAAATTGCATTTTTTAAACACAACAGTGGAAAGAAATTGGTTTTACTGGTATGTAATACTGTTAACTTGGCCCATTTGTCTCAATCTAACCCAGCTGTTTTAGATGCCAGTTTTAATGGTTTAGATCCTGGTACTCTGCATGAGGAATTCCCACCTGCAGCAGCAGATCCATAAAATCAATCTGTAATTTCGAGTTCCAATCTATGTGATCAGGCAGAAAAAAGCCCATACATGCACAGAGCTTAAGTACCATGTGAGCAATATGAAGGTGTTGTTGCTTAAGTGGCTGCCTTAGATGGCCAGAGAAATATATACGTGTTTTACAATATCTTGGATTTAACTTGGATTAAACTCTTACATGGTGATACTTAGTGCTTTCTGTCACCTCTGGCTAATTAAACAATAGTTGCTTTACCTTTGGCATTGTTTATTACACAAATTCTACTTAAAAATCATCTAAATCTACAGAGTGTAGATCATCGTCAATAAATCTGCTATTCAGAAAAACAGTGTTTTCTACCCCACAAAAAAAACTTTCTGAGCAAAAAACAAAGAACTTCTGTTTTGCCCTTCAACGCAGTAGAAGATATTGCCAAAGCTCAATCAGAAAGCTCATTACCTTCCATCAAGGATCAGAAGATTTATAATGTGGGGGATAGAAAAAAAGAGGCAAAAATGCACCAGAGCAGAGAGCAGACAATTAAAAGAAACCAACACCCCCACCAGAAAATAAAAACCACAAAACCTAACCAAACCAACCCAAATACAAATACCCTATTTAAACACAGAAGATATACAATATTCTCCATTAGAGAATTCCTAAAGTTTTAAGTGGGTGAGAGAAAGCTCAAGCCACGTCAGGCAGAATCAGCCATGACATTTAAAAACACACTGAGGTGTTCTCCATTTCTACAGTGATTTTCCCATTTGATGGGTGCATGTTGCTTTTGGTTTGACAAACACCCAGGTATGGCCAGATACCACGACAACACGGTTTGGGTGCACAAAATAATAGTCTATGCAAAACCAGACATAATTGTTATTTATAAACTTAACAGAATTTCAAGGGATCCCATTTGAGCTGAATATAAATTTAGGTAGCTGTTGCATTGGCAAAATGAAGGATGTGCAGATCTCATCTTGACTTGCACTGGGAATAAACAGAATTAAAAAAAGATTAATGCCTTCCAGTGTTGCAGGAAGGCATCTTTTGGCTTAAGGCACGTCAAAAACAGGAGATCTCACATGGAAGATGCTTTCTCGCACGTGGCACTCATTCCAAACAAAATTATTTTTCTTCTTGGGACTTACAGTTCCAGGGGTGAACTGGAAGCTGGTGAGGAGCAGGATCTGGGCCACCAGGACAGCAAAGGACAGGTTGGCGTGGATGTGGTAGCGCTGGTTGCGGATGGTGCTGACAGACCTGGCAGGAGGCAGAAACACATCTGAATAAAACAGCATTGCCAGAAGCATTCCAAGAATATATTTATGATTTATCAGCAAGCATTTAGATTGACTCCTGCTTATTGGTTTTGGTGGGGTTATGATGATGTCTTCTGAGCTCTCCTTCCACCAGGATGGAGTGGTACCTGAGTGGTTGCTTTAATATTCTGCTGCTGTCCTGAAGGCAGCAGAAAGATTGATTTGCACATGAAAAAGCTCTGTTTGTGACTAGTGGCAGAATATCTTGAATGGTGCTGTGCTACTGAGGAGGTCAGACCTGCACCTCACAGAAAGCACACTGCACCTTGCACCATTCAGCCCACACTGTGCCACAGAATTCCTGGATTTATTTTGCTGGTATTTGCCTGTGTGAGAAATAAGGGAATGTGAAAAGACCTTTGTTATGATTTTGGCTTATACTATTATCAGCTTCTGAGCACAGGAACTATAGCTCCATATGCAGATGGGCAGTGCCTATCTTGACAGAGACCTGACAGTGATTACAACATCATTTGAACACATCGCTCTTGGCTTTGCAAAAAACAGATGGAACTCTGACAAGAACATGCTTTCCTGGAAGTCTTCTGACCTCGTGTTTCTGTTCTCATCCAGAAATAGGAAACAAAAAACAAAAACACTGATCTGAACATCTCAGGCCTTTCCCACAATTTAATTCTTCGCTTTAAAAAGCAGTATTGGTGATAACAGGTCAATATTTCCATCCCTGCTGCCTGCCAGCCCCCACCAGCAGTTTTAACCATCTCAGGACACCCAGGCCGCTGGCGATGGGAACTGTTGTGTGCTTCCTCCACTCAACTCCACGCACTCCCATCCTTTTGTTGTGTCACACTGGATGGGGGTGACTCCTGCAGCCACTGTGTGTGTCCCTGCAGCAGAGTGACATGGACTGGACGATGCAGACCATGGTTGTGTCAGCCCTGCCCTTCCAGCACTGCTCCGTTGGAAGAGAACGAAGAGGGAAATGACGAGAAGTATCCGTGTCCTAAAAGGAATCCAATGAGCCAGGATGTGCTGCCTGGTGCCAGTGGCTTTCTAATAAAGAGCTTCTCGTGGTGGCAGGCTGGGGCAGTGTTCCCCAGGAGGGGAGCAGGACTGCCTGCCCTCCCGGGAACCGCCCGGCGCTGCCGGTAACGCGGAGCAGCGAAGAACTTGCCAGATTCTTGTCCGCTTACGTTACGGTCATCTAACACCACATTGCAAAATTTCGCCTCAGCTGTTTAACGAGACCCTGCTCTCCAGTGAAAACCTAATCAAATTATTTCTGATTGGCAGTTTGAAGGATCCCGTGTGTAGGTGGGGTGCTTTAACCCCGGGACAGTCAGCTGGCCCCAAGCTCTCCTCTTGTCCAAAAGTCTTCTCTTTGCCTCCAGTTTCTTGAGGAGTTTTCAGCCCTGCTGCAGCAACACCACCTCCTTTTACTCCCTTTTTCCTTTCTGAACGTTATAACATCCAATTTTGCACTCAGACAAAAGTGGAGCAGATCATTCCCCTCAGCCTAAACATGCCAACAGCGCAGTGCCAGATAGGCAGACGTTGGACTTATTTGGAGTGGATTTTGCCACACGTTACACACTTAATCCAAGTATGACCAACACAGATCTTGAGACTTGGAAATAATACGGGATTTGGAACAAACGAACACTGCAATCAGTTTACTGTTTTACAGCAAGTCCTTTTCCCTAGAAACTGGCCTCTTCACGGGATGTTCAAAATACATTCTTAGGCACAGAAATCAAAAGTTGAACTCCTGAGTAGGAAGAATATGGTTTAGTGTGTGAAAGGAGACAAAGAATCCCATTCCTTGCTGCTCAACCACTCTGCTGCACAACCTCAGACAAGTTGCTTCACCCTTTGTCATGTTTTCTGCTTTTTATTTAGAAACAAACCTCTACGAAATCTTCTTTCTTGGAAATGTTTGTATCAAGGCCAGCTGGGCCTCAAACTCAGTTATCACTATTGGAAAATAAACAGGCATAAAGACCCTGAGTGCCCTGTAGCAGAAGCATTCCAGTGCAAAGAGCCCTCGAAGGGCTTGCCCTGTTCCAGGCAGGAGGCCTGCAGAGATCCAGAGGTTTTAAACACGAGCCGTGGAGCGAATTTCACACTGCTTACAGTGTCCTTCATCCTCCTAAAACAACACATTAGATAACCAGCCTAATGGAGCACAGCAACTCGAAAATAAATGTGGCTTGTATGATGTAATTGTGTACATGTTGCACGAAACAAAAGGCAGGCAGCTCTAATGTTGACTGAGACTTCCTTTCTGGGCATTCCTTTATAAACACGTCGCCTTCCAGCCCAAGGCAGCTGAAGAGCAGACAGAAGGACTGACTGTACACTCCAAGCAACCCAAAGATGAGGGTAAGGGGGGCAGAGGGGGTGATCCTGCAGTTCTTGCCCATATTGTACTTGCTTTGAGCTCCCAACCAAGTCATCCATGCTTTGAGCTCCCAACCAACTCTCCGTGTTTTTCTAAAGTTCAGGAGTCTTGCAAGGAGGCTACTGCCTCCTTGCAAGACTCCTGAACTGTAGAAAAACTTGGAGAGTTTAAAAAAAAAAAAATCTAAAAATCCCTCAAGGGATGGAAATTGCTTGCTATGTAAAGACCATCCCATTTCAGGAAATGAAAGTAATTTAGAAATAACCAACCAACTGTTACAAATACATGTGCAGAATCCAATTAAGGGAGGTTGTAGAATTAATAGCCTTTGTTTTATCCTGAGCACCTGAAGGGATCCCACTCAGTGGCCTGAAATGCTCCGCTTCCCTTCCTGTGTGATAAGCTGCTCAGCGGGTATTAATTTAAAATTACTCACGACAATATAGCAAATGTGACCAGCGTGATCGTCAGGCAGAAGATGGACAGAGCACAGCCAATGTAAGTGATGGAGGAGAGGGCCACCTGGTGTTCTCTTGCTAGCTGCACACAAAGGAAAAAAAAAAAAAAGAACAAAAACGAAATAACAGCTATTAATTGATTTATCACACCGCAGAACCACGGGTCAGCGTTTCCTCCTCCAGCCATTCGTGAGGAAGCTGTTCACAGTCGTTCCCTGCTGTTGCTAGAGGGGGAAATGAGGAGCCAGCTCCAAACTCAGTCACACAGCCAGGGGATCCACGTGCCCGTGGCATTTAGCTCCCTCTTTTATTTCCTGAACCAGGTTTTCCTCGGCACAAGCTGGAGTTTCTCTGCTGCTGCAGCAGTTCATTGGGCTCACAGGCAGTGTCAGGGATGGGATCTGTCACAGGTAATGCTCTCACACTGCAATAATTTACATCGCTGTGCAAATACCAGAAGTGCTTCACAGCAGTGAGAACTGACAAACCCAGATAAGCCATAAATCACAGGCCATTTATAGCCCGCTCGTTTTGTTTAATTGTATCACGTTTTCAGTGGCTTTTGAAGAGCTGGACTGACATCTACAGAATGGAAAACCCCAGAAAAGACCCAGCATGAGCAGTAGGAATGCAAACCTCTCCTCTCAGCCTCTCTTTTTATCTACAGGCACCTTTTGTAGAAGTAATTCGATTTTCATGAACATTTAAACTGTAACTCCCCAGTGCTCTCCACTAGGATCTGTGTTAAACCTGGATAGAGTCAATGCTGGAGGGACAGCATGGTTTGGTCATTCATCTTAAATTAATCAGAGATAGTGTTTTAATTTTCCATGCAAATTCTCATAAAAGAATGACAAAAAAAAACCCCACCCAACAAAGGGAGCCAGGAAGTATTAATATATAATAAGTAGAACAGAGCTAGGCAGGAAAAGGTTTTCTCATCTCAGAAGAATTTTCAAACATTTTTCCTGACTTGAATTTGGATAGAGTTGACATTTTCATAAACTGAACATAAACTGGGGGTGGGGGGAATATGTAGTCAATCAAAAAGTTTTAATTTTGATGCTTGAAATACTATGTTTTAATTTGAATCTCTGTTCACCATAAATTAAATTCCTAGCTGAAAACTCATTCAAAATATTTACTTATTAGAAAAAATACTGAAAGGAACAATATCTTGTCCAACTTTTTTACAGAAACTTTTATCTAATGAAAACTAATCCTTTCTCACATGTTTGGGATTTGCTATTGTTTTCCACAGGCACAATAAAAATTTCCCTCCCAAACAAAGTATTTCATTAGAGATTATCAAACCCAAGCAGCCCCACCAATAAACTTCCCATTAAAATTCCTTTTAAAGGAGAGAAACAACGTGCCATGTAGTTATGAGGAAACAGAAACACAGACAAAAAGATGTGTTGCATATATACATTTTTCCTGCAATTATCTGCCAACAGAACCAACCCATGTACAGTAAGTTTTACAGCAGAATAACTTGTGGCTCACTCAGCAATCTGAGAACTATTAAGGGATGCAGCAGCAGCATTGGAAGACAACTGTTGCTATGGTGTTACAGTTCCTAGGAAATATGATGCAGCTCTTGAGTGGTTTTTCCTCTTCCAGCCAAAGGCACATTTCTTATCCCTGACTCGGACAGCATCAATTAAAGAAACAAAAGGGTTCTGTGTGCTGGACCAGCTTAAAAGCTCCATATAATTCCTACAGAAAAGATCCTATCATCTCTCATTCCTCAGAGAAGCCATGTATAGCCATTCTTCAGAGAGTATTCCTGAAATAGGAATAATCTTTGTGGTAAATTGAGCAGTTTAGAAGTGATTTCCTCATCAGGGATATTCATGTCCAGAATGGATGGACCTTATTTCCTGATATCTCAGACACACATCCTTTTCTCTGGCTACAGGTGGTTTGCAATTCTACAGAAGGAGGAGGAGGGGAGCAGAGGAAGCTTTCACAGCTTCAAATCACTCTGAAATCAGTGCTTCTCAGCAGTTCAAAGCTTTCCTTCACTCCTCTCACTCCTAAACTCCTGCAGCCAGAAAATGTTCCCTGGGGAGGTCAGAGCTGCTCAGTTCTCATTCAGGTTTGCAGAGATCTGTCACAGTGTTTGCACTGGCAGAGGATCTGCAAAGGGAAAATCATATACAAATACAGAAGATACAGAGGAGCAAACCAGTGGAAACTGGCAAAAATCATGGAATCCCAGAATGGTCTGGTTGGAAGGGACCTTAAAGCTCACCCAGTCCCATCCCCTGCCGTGGGCAGGGACACCTTCCACTATCCCAGGTTGCTCCAAGCCCTGTCCAACCTGGCCTTGGACACTTCCAGGGATCCAGGGGCAGCCACAGCTTCTCTGGGCAACCTGTGCCAGGGCCTCCCCACCCTCACAGGGAAGAATTTCTTCCTAATATCTAATCCAAATCGACTCTGTGTGAAGCCATTCCCCCTTGTCCTGTCACTCCGGGCCCTTGTAAATGGTCTTTCTCCATCTTTCTTGTAGCCCCTTCAGGTACTGGAAGGCCTCAATTAGGTCACCCTGGAGCCTTCTCTAGGCTGAACAATCCCAGTTCTCTTAGCCTTTACTCATAGGAGAGGGGCTTAATCCCTCTAAAAATCCAAGTCTTTGTTTTTTTCCACAGTAATACAAGAGAAGATGGTGATCACACAAACATCTTTTTCTCACTAATTTCTATCAAAACTAACGTGCCTCTAAGACAATCTTTCTCTGGGTTTTAGCTCAGTCTTTCTCCAAAAACCCCTGCAGGGCAAGACATGATGAGAATCAAGTTCTCCCAAATGGAGCCTCTATTACTTAGAAACAAAAAAAAAGGGGGGAGGGGAAATCTCTTAACAATAAAATGTAGAAGATTCTCTGAAACATAAAATAACCCACACAGGGCCCTGCATCTGCATCTGGAAATTGCTCTTACTCTATTAAACACAACCAGAATCTGATGATGCTTTAAGGATGATGCTCTTAAATCAATACCAACATCAGTGTGGTGGGGCAGAAAGCCTGTAGTTAGCTTGCAACCTTTTTTCTATCATTATTAAGGAACCAGTGGAGCCTGTGATAGCTGTTCTCAAACTGAGCTCTCGGGCTGGAGAGGTCCAAGAGGGGGTCCCTGTTCACAGCAGCCAGTGAAACCAGCTCCTTCCTGTGGATAATGTGAATTCCAGGGGGAAGGATACAGCAGGAAAAGAAGGCCTGGGATTATTTCCAGCCTTGTTTCAGGGATATGGTGCAGGAGAGAGGAGAACCTGTGTTTAAGATATCAGATCTCTACTAACTCCCCACAGCCCAGCTGTCACAGCACACGTGTGCAGTGCTCCCACTGCAAGGGATAATAAGCAGCATTTTGTTACAAGTACCTGGGTCCTCAAAGTGTTGTTGTGAATCATCAATTAAGAAACAATTTCCTACAAATTCCAGTGCTCTGATACGGGCTGATTTCATCTTACCTCAGCTTGTCTTTTTGAAAGTTTTCAGCCTTCCTGCGTGATGTGGAATATAAAACAGTAATTTGGGATGATCTTACAGTCAGCACAAAAATGCTAATCAGGCTGTAATGTTATTATTAAAGAAAATAGCATGAAAAAGTTCCAAATGAAACATTGAGCAATCTGTGAAGTAGTCCCACGAGCCTGATTCTCACACTTGTCCCAATCCACATTAAATTATTCTTTTCTCCCAACAGGTTTTGCTTCTTTGGTGTTTATACGGTCATTCTCTTACTCTGCAGCGAGCTGAAAAGCCAGGAAACGAGCTCATACAGCCCCGAGTGTTAGTAATCACAAACACTAAAAGACAGATGTTTCTTAGCTCCAGCTTCGACAAAGTCAATTCAAAAATTCCTGCCTCACATAACACTCCCACCCTTTTGGTTGAGGCTGTAACACCCTTTACCTTGCAAGTGTTGCTGACAGCATGGGCAAAGAGCTGGTGGTTTCAGCAGACCCACCCAGCTGTGGTATTACAGCCCATTGTCTCAGCCTTGTTCTCCCTTGTAAAAGAAGTCAGTGCGTTGCTCAACACTTTTTATTTTTTGGAAACTCACAGGCAACCGGATGGCCTGAGAAACGATCCTGGAAAGACACCAGCTCAGCCTCCAAATGTATATTTTGCATTTCTGATGCTGTTCGTGGTGACATCTGACGCCTCTGTTTAAACAGAGCTGCGCGGGGAGATGAAAATATATTATTATAATGGGATGGTGCTTTTCATCTCTGGGAAAGGTCAGTTCAGGCTGAAAGGTTATTCAGTAGGTTCTATATCTAGATCAGAAAATCTAGTTGTTTATGTAAGGTTACTGAGTGACTGTACATAGACCCCAGCACACCAACCCACCACAAAGGTAGATGGGCTACAGGAACACAACTCAGCAAGTTCTCAGCTCAGAGCATCTTCCTGGGCCACACAGGGCCCTCTGCTCAATGTGCCCTTCCTCTGTGTGACATTTGCACCCTTGTCCCTCTTGCTCATTTTTCACCTCTCAGTCAGTTGACCACAACTTTTCTGCTTTGCAAAGGGTGTACTTTGGGCTTCCTCCAAAGAAAGGGACATTTTGGGGAAGTGCTAGCCTAAAATTTTCTTCTTCACATGCTGCAAAACATCCCTCTGTGTCCGCCTTTAAAAGCAACACGTCAGACAAAGGGCTGAGTTCAAACACTTGAAACCAAGGTTTGTCACAGCTGATCCTGAAAGGGTTTTTCCCTATACCAAATTACAGCTTGGCCATTTAGGCACTAAAAGCAGTAATTTCACCCTCTAAACTACTTTAGAAATCTCCTTTCTGAAAAGCAATTCATCTTCTTCTTGAAAAAGACAAGTTCTTGAACCAAAAAATGTTTTACAGACTTAAAAAAAAAAAAAAAGAGTCCTGCAAGCTAAGGATTATATCATACCTTCCATTTGTATTTTAGTGCTACTTACTGGTAGAACTCAGAATATATCATTGCATATGCCTATATGGTGCATACATTTTATAAAAACAAAGTTATTTGTTTGCTGGTAGAAATGTAAGACACGACATTTGCATTTTGCCCTAAGTCCAAATATAGGAG